CCTAATAATAGAAATTCAAAACACACGAAGCAAAAACTGACCATGGGAAGCAACAGAAGTTCCATAATCACAGGGAGAGTCTTCAGTGTCCTTCTCTCACTAACTGATGCAGCAGGTAGACAAAAACAACCAGTCAAAGAAACAAACCAACACACGAAAACCCAGGAAGGACGTAGAAGATTTAAATGACACTATTAAGCAACTTGATTTCACTGATATTTGTAGAACAATGCACTCAACAATAGCATAATACACATTCTCTTGACATGTTCAACATAGACAATAGAATGGATTCAAATAATACGGAGTATATCCCCTGACCATGATAAAATTATATTAGAAACTGTTAACAATTTAGACATTTAGAAAATCCTATTTGGAAGTCAGGGAATTTATGTCTAAATAATCCATGGGGCCAAGAAATCACATGGGAAAAGAGAAAAGTTTGAACTGACTGATAGTAAAACACAACATGCGGAATTATTAGGATGCAGATTAAGAAACAGACATAATGCCGGGCGCGGTGGCTCAAGCCTGTAATCCCAGCACTTTGGGAGGCCGAGGCGGGTGGATCACAAGGTCAAGAGATTGAGACCATCCTGGTCAACATGGTGAAACCCCGTCTCTACTAAAAATACAAAAAACATTAGCTGGGCATGGTGGCGCGTGCCTGTAACCCCAGCTACTCAGGACGCTGAGGCAGGAGAATTGCCTGAACCCAGGAGGCGGAGGTTGCGGTGAGCCGAGATCGCGCCATTGCACTCCAGCCTGGGCAACAAGAGCGAAACTCCGTCTCAAAAAAAAAAAAAAAAGAAACAGACATAAAACCAGATAAGAAATTGGAACAGATTATACATCTGTTAAAGAAATTGAATTCATTCTCAAATACTTTCTCACAAAGAAAACTCCAGAGTCACATTATGTCATTAGTGAATTCTGTCAAACATTTAAGAAATAAGTAATACCAATTTTATACAAACACTTTCAGGAAATAGAAGAAGAGAAACTACTTTCTTGTGTATTTTAGGGGCCCAGCACAATCCTGATTCCAAATCTGATGATTCCATGGAAAGGAAATTACAGGAATACACCTCACAAATATAGCTGAAAAAATCTTTAACAAAATATTACAAGTTGAATAAAAAAATATAAAATGGATACTAACTCATGACAAAGTAGGACTTACTTGGGTATGCAAGTTTAACATCTAATTGATATATATATATAAAAAATTCACTACATTAACAATGTAAGGAGAACAATGAGGTGCTCCTCTTAATAGTTCCAGAAAAAAGCATTTAGCAGAACCCAGTACCCATTTATAATTTAAAAAATTCAGCATACTAGGAGTGAAAGGAATCTTCCTTACTCTGATAAAGAGCATTTAAGAAAAGCCCACAGATAACATCATATTTAATGGTGAAACATCAAATTCTTTCCCCATGATTGCGTTGGGTGGAAGTATGGCCATTCTCACCATTTACAATTTTTCTCTGCAGGTCTTAGTGCAATAAAGCAAGAAGAAATAAAAGGTATTCAGACAAGAAAAAGAGTAAAACTGTCGTTACAGATGAATAATTACATAAACATACAACCTTAGTACTTATAAGTAAATTTGTCAGGACCACATGACTCAAAATAAACATATGAAATTGTATTTCTATATATTAATAATGAACAATAGGAAAATGACATTAAAATAATAATATAACTCATGCTATAAGATCTAGAATTAACCTGATCAAAGACGTGCAAGAAACCTCTACACCGAAAACCATAAACATGGTTGAGAGAAACGAAGACACGGAGATGTGGGGCTCACGCCTGTAGTCCCAGCACTTTGGGAGACCGAGGTGGGTGGATCACCTGAGGTCAGGAGTTCAAGACCGGCCTGGCCATCATGGTGAAACCCCATCTTAAAAAACAAAAACAAAAACAAAAAACAAACAAACATGGAGAGGTATACCATATTGATGGATATAATATTTGCTATATTTAAGATGTCCAGTTCCCTCAGGTTGATCTATAAATTCTAAACAATTTTAATCAAAGTACTGGAAGGCTTTTTTGCAGGGGAGGGAAGAAGAAATGGGCAAGATGACTCTAAAATGTCTATGCCTGTACAAAGGACTTAGAACAGCCAAAACAATCTTGAACAAGAACAAGGCGGATGTGTGTACGCTACTCAATTTCAAGACTTACTAAAAAGCAATTGTAATCAAGACAGTATGGTTTTGGTGAAAGAATGAACAGATTGATTCGCACAGATCAACAAATCCCACTTATATGATCAATTTATTTTTGAGTTGCCAGAGTTATTCAAGAATGAAAGGAGAGACCTTTTTAAAAAATGGTGCTGGAAAAACCGGAAATCAGTATGAAAAATGGTGGACCTCCATTCTCACATCATACCATACAGTCTGGTTCTCACACTAGTGCGCGGCAGAATCCCATGGGGGGCTGATTAAAACCCAGATTTCTGGACCCTGCCCACAGAGTTTCTGATTCAGTGAGTCAGTCTTGTGTGAGGCATGAGTATTTGCATTTTTAAGAAGTCCCCAGGTGTATCAGTCTTTTCTCACCCTGCTATAAAGAACTACCTGAGACTGGGTAATTTATTAAGAAAAGAGGTCCAATAGCCTCACAGTTCGCAGGCTTAACAGAAAGTGTGACTGGGAGACCCCAGGAAACTTACAATTATGGCAGAAGGCAAAGGGAGAAGCAGGTACCCTCTTCACACGGAGGCAGGAGAGAGGGAGGGAGAAGCGCCACACACCTTCAAACCCTCAGCTCTCGTGAGAACTCACCATTAAGACACCAGCAAGGGAGAAATCTGCCCCCATGAACAAATCAACTCCCACCAGGCCCCTGCTCCAATTCGCCGTGACATTTAGGTGGGGACACAGATCCCAACCATGTCACCAGGCGATGTTTATGCTGCTAGTTTGGGAAGCACACATGGCAAACCCCTGCTGTACCCAGATATAAACTTGAAATGGATCATAGGATCTACATGTGAAAGCCAGATAAGATGTAGGGGGATATCGTCTTGTCCTTGGGGTAGGCAACCGGTTTTCAGACAGAACCTAGAAAATACTAATTGTGAGACTAAAAAAAGAAATAGATACATTGGAGTTTGCCAGAGTTCGTTTTATGTCTTCCATAAAAAGTATCATTGAGAAAATGTACAGACAGCCACAACCTTGCGGAAAATATGCGTAGGCCTGTGTCTGACAAGGTACGTGCATTATGATATATAAATTCCTGTATATTCATAACCAGAATGCAAAATCCCAACTTTAAAAGGAGAAAGATTTGACAATTAGTAAAATAAAGCACATGAATATCCAATAAGTGATGAAAATGCGTTCAATATTTTTAGTTATCAGGGAAATGGAAATGAAAGCCTCAGGGATGTGTCACTTCACACACGCAGAAGAGCTAAAAACAAAAAAGAAACAGACAGTACCAAACATCGAGAAGGCAGAGGGGCAGCTGGAACCTTCCTGAACTGCTGGCTGCAGCAAAGTGGCTGAACCCCTTTTGGAAAGCTGCTTGGCTGTTTCTGATAAAAGTTCAGCACACACCTATGCAGCGAGTGCACGGTTTTGCTCCTAAGCATTGAGTCAGGAAAAGTGAAAATATATGTATGTGATTCGTACAAGGAGGTTTATACCAGCCGTGTCATCACCGTCCCCAACCAATCACCTCCCAGCAGGCCCCTCCTCCAATCTGACATGAAATTTGGGTGAGGACACAAATCCGAACCATATCAGCAGGTGTGTCACATGATGCACCATGAGTCCGGGGTGTGCGCCACCACGCTCTCTGCAGGCAGGGCTCAGGCAGAGCGTTCACATCACCTGGCTGCTGGTCCCAGTGACGGGTAAAAGTACCCTTTGTGGGCAGGACCAAGGAAGGACCTTGTGGGCAGGGCCAGATGTACTGGAAACAGTGCAAATGTCCAGTATCTGGTGGATGAGTAAGCAAATGTGCTGTATTCACCCCAGGGAATGTATCTATGCAGGGAAAAAGAAAGACCCAGTGATACGCTGAACAACGTGTGTGGATAAAGGAGATTACACCGAAGCTGGACACGAAAGCGTCCGCACCCCGTGGCTCCATCTGTGAGGAGCTCTAAGCAGGTGCACCCAGCCCATGGTGCAGCACGTCGGAGCAGGGGCTGCCTGGGTGGGGGCCGGGGGCTTTGGGCCGTGGCCGAAGGGACACGGGGGAACCTGCTGGGCTGACAAAAATGTTCTACGTCTTGATCTTGGTGGTGGCTACACGGGTTTGCACAATTGTCAAAACTCACTAACACTGTACATGACTTATTAAATGCCAATTATACTTCAATAGCAAAAGAGGAAAAAGATGACCCCCAAAAAGCTCAGGACAGAAAACGGAAAGAGAGCTGAGCTGTCCCACATGTGACAGGCGCCACAGAATCTGGGCCGTACATGTGACAGGCGCCACAGAATCTGGGCCGTACATGTGACAGGCGCCACAGAATCTGAGCCGTGGGGGCTCGAAAGCCAGCATGGATGGGCTTCTGCACCGATGAACGAGGAGGGATTGTAAAAAACAACACTGTTTCTTTCTCCACTGAGTTGAGCTTCCTCAACAAAAGACGGGGATTGGGAACGAATGCATGGATGCAGCAATGAACGCACGGTCGCAGAGCTCAGCTGTGTGGGTGTGGCCCGGGGAGAAACAAGCTCTCCAAGGGCTCATGTGCAGACGTCGCTAGCCTGACGCCCCGGCTCCCCTGTCAAGGGGTGGGACGGAGATGGAGGCCAGGCCTGATGACAGCCTTCTCTGCAGACCCTCCCCCTGCCCCCATCCCCACCGGGAGGCCAGCACTGGGCCTGGCCGTTACCAAGACGGAAAGAGCTGGTGTGGGCATCCTGGGCCTACCTAACTCCCAGAAGTACCTTAGGCAGGACCCGCGACCCAGCCGCATCCCAGACGGCAGCGGCTGGCCCTGCAGACATCCTCACCTGGACCACCTGCTCCTGGAGCTGGGCCTTCTCTCGCCCCAGCAAGGCTGCCTGGCCCTCCAGCTGCTCCTGCCGCTGCTCCAGGCCCCTGCGCTCCGCCTGCTCCAGCGCCAGCTGCTGCTCCGCCTTTGCCAGCTGCCCCCTGGCCCGGGCCTGCTCCTGCTCCAGAGCCTTCTGCTGCTCCCGCAGCTGGTGCCGCTCCTGCTCCAGCTACCACCAGGGGTCAGGGGCTCGGCATCCAGCCCCTGCACCCTTGGGCCCTGCGGCCACCCCCCAGGCCCGCCCCAGGCACACTGTGCTCCCTCCCTTAGGCCTGGTCAGGGCCAGCCAGGCTCCTCGTCCCCAAAACCTTGGCCCAGGAGAGGGCGTGATCTGGAAGGATGGAAGGAAGGCCCAAGGCTGGAGACCCACAGCCACCCAGAAGCCTGCTCTGGCGAGGCCCCGCCCCCACCCTTGTCTCACCTGGAGGGTCAGGTGGGTCAGCACACTCTTGTCCCGAGCCAGCCCGTCCATCAGGGTGGCCATGGCAGCCAGGGAGTCCCTTTGCTGCACGCCCTCTGACTTCAGCTGCCTCATGAGAAGCTCCAGGTCAGCATTGCTGTACTCGGCCTGGGGCAGGGAGGGGTACCGGGGAGAGAACTTCAGCTTCCAGGGCAGGTCTGCTGCTGCTGGGGAAGGAGTGAGCCCTGAGCCACGGCGGTGTGCAAGCCAGCGCTCCTGAGCAGGCACGGTGGGAAGGTCCCCACAGTCGGAGGTCTCAGGGCCACTAGTGACTCCAGGCACTGAGGCTCCAGCCAGAGGACATGGCTGGTGGTCTGGGGAGAGGCCACAAAGAAGCAGGCATGGCCAGCAGGGCTGAGAGCAGCCAGGCCAGGTCGTTGCCTGCTGGTGGGGACAGAGGCCTTCAGTGACTTTGGGAGCTCTGGTGATGGGCTGAGGGTCCCGGCAGGCAGGAGAGAGGGGGTGGGAGGCCAGGTCAGTGAGGCCAGGGT